TTGGGATTTTTCGGGGAAATTCTCATTATTTTCTGCTCTCGGTTTACTTCAGCAGTTATTTAGCTATAATATTTATATTTCATGCCACCAAAATTCATTCTGTTATATTTCCAGGCTCTTCTTCAGAGAGTTAAATGCCACGGGATATTATGGGCTAATTTTAACATGGGGAAATAATAGTTTCTATTATGAAAATAGCTTCTATATGTTCAAGTTTTTATCACGTAATCATTAGTGTAGTTTTCTGTTTAAAATGTTTGACACTGGAGCAGTCGGAAGCTGAATAATTCATTTTGCTCGATGCTACAAAAAAAGGCATGAAATACACCCGAAACAAAACCTGGTGTATGTTTAGGTATGGTCGAGTACAACATGAAAATATGTTCCGTACCCTCAATTTTTTAACAACCGTTATGTTCGTAGGTACCTGATGCACTTATCTATTAACAGCTTGACTATTTTGACGTAGAATACGTCTTACGTTTCGATATAGAGGCTATGCTCAAATGTTGTAGTTGTAATTTTTAGAGCTTCATGAAAACGCTTATTGCACGAGAACTAGTGAAGCGATTGCAAATAAAAGTGTGGCGTTTCAAAGACAAAATCCCAAACCTATCAACAGACACATTTCTGTGAGTAACCAATTCGGTATCTGTCGTAGAAAGAACGGTAAATATTGGCTTATTTCGGGGTAAATTTTGAGCCTTTAAAGCGCTCTAGCAACTTATGATTTGCAGATATAACTTTAAAAGTATGTGTGTAGGTATTTTGGCTTTTGAGTAACATATGGTGCAATATTTATAACCTAATCACAGCGGATGTATGTAAATACATACATACGTACATATGTTGATTGCAGTTAATGTGGACCTTTTTTCTTTTAGTAATATACATATGTTGCCTTCTCATTGTCCCCTCCTTAGTATTTCTGCTTAGAGGGCACTGAAAAGGCAAGATTTTTCGGTAGCTTGTTGGAAGTTTTGATCGGCTAAATTTTAATAAGCCAATATTTTTCTTAATTTTTTCAACTTGACCATCGCTGATTTCAAAAATTCTATGAATGTTCCCCAATATGAAGTATTTACCTAAAATAACATTTATTTTCGAATAATACATCGGATGAAAAATAGTCAAGCTGTTAAGAGAAAAGTGCATCAAGTACGCACATTACGGTTGTTTAAAAAAAACTGAGGGTTCAGGAACTATGCGGAACCTATTTTCATGTTGTACTCGACCATAGTGACAACCCTGACCAGGATTTGTTTCGGGTGTATGACTTTTTTTGTAGCATCGTGTTATTTACTATTGAAAATGTATAATATTGTTTCTGATAAGGGTAGTTAAAATTATAAATGAATATAAACTTCGCATTTGTAAAATACTTGTAAATTAAACGCTATTATAATTGCATACAGCAAAAAGTTTTACCTTTTTCAAGCGCGCTGAGCGGTGCAAAACAAGCTACTTTTCGACTAGCTGCTAGCAGACAAAAAATGGGAAACAAAATTCGAAAACTACTCCCAGAAAAACGTTTAGTTATAAATAACTTATAATTACAAAGATTTGTTTATAGTGACCAAGTAGCATATTTAGTTGGATATGGCGAAATGAATATCTAGTTCACGAAAGTCTGCGATTTACTTGAGGCACTACCTTGATTGGACAATTTTGTTAGTTGAAATAAATCATTTTTGAGCAAATATAACAGTGCTTTGGTTGATACAAGTTTTCAATTAGGTTTGTGAACTCGTTGTAGACCTATTCTTCTTTATTGGCGCTGTAACCGCCTAAGCGATTTTGGCCGAGTCCAAAACAGAACGCCAGTCGTTTCTGTTCGGTGCCAACTGACGCCAATTGGAAATGCCAAGTGAAGCCAAGCAGAGGAGGCCTTCCTTTTCCTCTGTTACCAGCATCGCGACCCGCGTTGAATACTTTCAGAGCTGGAGCGTTTCTGTCCATTCGAACGACATTACTTTGCCAGCGGAGCCGCTGAATTTTAATTCGCTGCACTACGCCTATGTCGTTGTTAAGCTCATACAGCTCATCGTTAAATCGTCTGCGGTATTCGCCATCGCTAACGCGCAAAGCAAAGGCACATAAATCTTGCGCAGAATCTTTCTCTCGAAAACTCCAAGAGCCGCTTCATCAGATGTTTTCATTGTCCATGCCACCGCGCCATACACCAGCACAGGCATGATATGTGACTTATAGAGTGTAATTTTTGTACAACGAGAGAGGTATTTACTTCTCAATTGCCTACTTAGTCCAAAGTAGCACTTGTTGGCAAAAGTGATTCTGCATTGGATTTCAAGGCTGACATTATTATTGGTGTTAATGCTGGTTCCCAAATAAACGAAGTCGTTTACTTTTTCAAACTTGTAACTGTCAACAGTTACGTGGGTGCCAAGACTCGTAAGCTCTGACTGTTTGAGTGATGACAGGAGATACTTCGTTTTGACCTCGTCCACCACCAGACCCATTCGCTTTGCCGCTCTATCAAATCCCGAGAAGGCAGAACAGACAAAGCTTTTGTTTTTACCGATAATGTCGATGTCGCCGGCATACGCCAGCAATTGTACGCTCTTGTAAAGCATTGCGCCAGAGCGATTCAGTTCTCCGGCTCTTATTATCTTCCCCAATATTAGTTTAAAGAAATCACATGAAAGGGAGTCACCTTGTATGAAACCTCGTTTGGTATTAAACGGCCCGAATAGGTCCTTCCCAATTCTGACGGAGCTGATGGTATTTCTCCACGTAATTTTACATAGCCGTAATAGTTTCGCGGGGATACCAAATTCAGACATCGCAGCATAAAGACAACTTATTTTCATACTGTCGAAAGCGGCTTTGAAATCGACAAATAGGTGGTGTGTCGATCCTATTCTTGCGAGTCTTTTCTTACATTTGGCGTATTGTGAATACCTGGTCTACGGAGGATTTTGCTGGTCTAAAGCCACACTTATAGGCGCAATCAATTCATTGACGGTGGACTTTAGTCTTTCGCAAAATACACTCGATCAGGCCTTATAACCTATGCTCAGAAGGCTGATCCCGCGGTAGTTGGCGCGTATGGAGGGATCACTTTTCTTGTGGATTGGGCAGAGCACACTTAAATTCCAATCATCGGCCATGGGTTCATCTTACCATATTCTACATAAGAGCTGATGTATGCACCTTACCAGCTCTTCGACGCCGTACTTGAATAGCTTGGCTAGCAGGCCGTGTGCTCGAGCCGCCTTGATTTTTTTCAGCCACTTATTCGCACCTCGTCATAGTCAGGCGGTGGAACATCGACTCCATCGTTATGGACTGGGGGCTCGGCTTCGTCTTCTCCACTACTTTCAGCGCTGCTACCATTCAGCAGGGTGGAGAAGTGTTCCCTCCATAATTTAAGTACATTCTGCACATCGGTCACTAGGTCGCCATCGTTATTGTTAGAGGAGGTCGCCCTGGTCTTGAAACCTTCCGTAAGTCGCCTAACCCTCTCATAAAATTTTCGGGCGTTCTTCCTGTCGGCCAGCATCTCAAGCTCTTCGTGCTCACGTATTTTGCCCTCTCTCTTCTTATTGCGGCAAATAAGTCTCGCTTCCTTCTTCAGTTCCTTATAACGGTCCCAAATGGCTCGCGTTGCACTCGATTGCAGCGTGGCCCTGTAGGCGGCATCTTTTTTCTCTGCAGCCTTTTGACATTCCTCATCATACCAGTTGTTCTTGCGAGGTCGTTGAAATCCGACTGTTTCTTCGGCGGCCGTACTTAATGACCTCTCAGAGAGCAGGTGTGAGAATCGAGAGGTGAATAAATTGTCCATATATTGTGATTCCAGCTTTTCGACGCTAAGCTTTCCTTGCATTGTTGGGCGCACATTTTTACTGCACAGAGGCGGGTGCGTATTTTGGCTCCAACAAGATAGTGATCCGAGTCGATGTTTGGCCCTTGGAGTGTACGTAAGTCTAAAGCACTGGAAGCTCGTCTTCCGTCTATCAAAACATAATCGATTTGGTTTCTCGCTTTTCGATCTGGAGACAGCCATGTAGCTTGATGGATCTTTTTATGCTGGAACCTTGTTCTACATATTATTTCGGGCCCAGCGAAGTCGATCAGCCTCAGTCCGTTATCGGACGTTTCGTCGTGGAGGCCGAATTTTCCGACGGTGGTTCCAAAAATCCTTTCCTTGCCCACCTTGGCATTAAAATCGCCGAGCGGGATTTATATAACGTGTCGAGGGCAGCGCATGAAGAGATCTTTGGAGGACTCGTGCTTCTTTTCCGCCGGGGCATGGGCACAGATGAGCGTGATGTTGAAGAATCTAGCTTTGATGCGGATTGTGGCTAGACGTTCGTCCACCGGGGTGAACGCCAGTACTCGGCGACGGAGTCTCTCTCCTAGCACGAATCCAACACCGAATTTGCGCTCCTTTACAAGACAACTGTAGTAGACGTCGCAAGGCTTCACGTTTACCTTACCTTGCCCCGCCCATCGCATTTCTTGGATGGCGGTGATGTCAGACTTTATCTTCCCGTGGACATCAACCAGCCGGGCAGAGGCACCTTCCCCTTTAAAGGTCCGGGTATTCCAGGTGCATACTCTCAAATCATAGTTCTTTGTACGTATGCCGTGGTGGTCACCAGAAAAAGGGGGTCTCATCCGAGACTGTTTATTCGTTTTCATTGGGCGTGGTTTTAACGTGGCGGGACCTCAGTCCAGCGTTGTAGACTTGCTTCAGCTAATTGTTTAATATTGGAAAAAAGGTTTGAGTTTGTCACAAATAAAAATTTACTCGATGATTTTTGCGTTTACTTTCTTCTTTTATTTGCATATATTAAGCTTAAAATCTAGATACATATGTTATGAAGTACTCAGCCTTTTCACTACTTGTATTTGCAATAATTTTCCCAATAAATTTAAAAGGATGAACAAGTATTGCTTGGTTCGCTGTCTGTACAAGAACTGCTTTTATTAATGTCAGAGCTGCTCTTGCAGACTCAAAGTTTTAAGCCGTATTACAGTGAAGAGAAAAAATACTGAAGCAAATAGATTTCATAATGCAATGTTGTTTTCAAGGGTTTAGCTGTTCTCTAAACATCCTGCCCCCGTTGGAAGGCTTTGCGTTTCAACAGAAGTATCCTCTATTGGGAGTGGACAAAGCTTTTTAATAGCGCGTCTGGTTGTACCGCCACTAAATTTAAGCACAGCTACACGTGAAACGCCATCATTGCCTTTGATGGTATCGATGACTCGAGCTAGTTGCCATTTTAGAGGGGGAACGTTCTCCTCCATGATTAGGACCATCGCACCGACTGAAAGGTTTGGTTTGCTGGCACTCCACTTAGCTCGTTGTTGCAAGGTCGTCAGATATTCTTTGCTCCATTTCTCCCAGCAAATCTGCTGCATGCGTGACACTCGCTGCCATCTGTCGAGCCGATTTAGATTAATTAGCGTAACATCAGGCTCAACAAAGGATGTGAGTGGAGCTCCAGTGAGAAAATGAGCCGGTGTTAATACTTCTATGTCATCCGGATTTTCTGAAAGTGGACATAAAGGTCGTGAATTTAAAATGGCTGATATTTGACAAGTTAATGTACGCAGCTCATCAAAGGTTAAAACTGAGAAGCCTACGGTACGCTTGAAATGATACTTGGCAGACTTAATGGCTGCCTCCCACAGTCCACCAAAATGCGGAGAGCGGGGGGGTATAAACTGCCAGTCAATTCCATCATTCAAACATTGATGCACAATTGCTTCGGTGTGTGAGCTGCTTTTGTACAAACGCCGTAATTCAGCCAACTCATTTTTGGCACCGACAAAGTTGGTCGCATTATCAGACCATATCGTTTTCGGTTTGCCACGCAGAGATACAAATCTTTTCAATGCTGCGAGAAACGCTGAGGTAGACAAATCAGCAACCAGGTCCATGTATATCGCCTTTGTTGCGAAACAAACGAATAAAGAAACGTAGCATTTTATCGGAGGCTTGTTACGGACCTCAGACTTGTAAAAGAATGGACCGCAAAAGTCCACTCCAGTGACTACAAATGCTCGATTAGCTTGCACTCTCTCCCGTGGAAGATTACCCATTATATGCTCTTATCGCATAGGTTCCGCTCGAAAGCAGATGATGCATTTATTGACAATGTGGTTTACCGAACGCTTGCCACCTATGGGCCAATACTGCAGCCGCATTGAAGCGAGTAAAGATTGTGGCCCAGCATGAAGCAATATGCGATGATAATGAGCAATAACAGCATCCGTGAGAGGGTGTTTTTTCGGTAAAATCATAGGGTGTTTCGATTCGAAGTCTGACGTTGAATTTTTGAGTCTACCGCCAACTCTAATTACGCCTTCCGAGTCCAAAAAGGGGTTAAGATTGTAGATTTTGCTAAATGAATCAACCGGTTTATTTTCTTGAAGCACCTTATATTCTGCCGCCAAATGTACTCTCTGGATCATTCGGACTAGCAATTGAGTTCCACGCTTAATGTGAATTGCGCTTAAGTTTCCTGTAGTAGTTTCTTTGCATTTTATCAAAATCGTTTGCGAATTTTGAAGTTGTTGAATAATCGGTGGCAACAAACGTCGAAGCGAGAACGCGCTTGCGCCTCTCAGGAATATCGATGACGTTTAGAGGTGATTGAGGCCAGTTGTAGATCGGACCGCGCAAGAAATCTGGGCCGTATTTCCATAGTTTAGAGTTCACAGGCTCTTGAGGTGTCGCTCCCTTAGATAATACGTCTGCTGGATTCATTTCTGTGGGCACGTAATGCCAATCCATTCCACTAGTCAACGACTGAATACTGCTAACGCGATTAGCCACAAAAATGTTAAAATTTGAAGATGATTCCTTCAGCCACGAAAGTACCATCATCGAATCCGACCAGCAATGAAATTCAGCTCCGAAAGCACCTAATCGTGCCACTGTAGCGACTAGATCTGGTAATAACGCTGCAGCAGACAACTCAAGCTTGGGAACTGTAAGGGTTTTAAGAGGGTAAACGCGCGATTTAGAACAAAGTAGCGCTGTTTTATTTAAGCTAGGGCATCCAGTTGATGCATAGATGCACGCGCCATAAGCTGATAAATTTGCGTCGCAAAATGCATGGACAACAACTTTATCTCTGCTACGCAAAACGGACCTGGGAAAGCTGCATTTCCTATACCTTCGTAGCCCCTGTATAACTCGTTCCACATGGCTTGGAGCGATTGAGGCAAACTCTCATCCCAGTGCAGTTTTTCCTTCCATAGGAGTTGCAAAAAAATCTTTGCCTTCGCAATCACTGGGCCTATTAATCAAAGTGGGTCGTAAAATCGTGCGATCATCGACAATACGGATCGTTTGGTAACCTTTTCATTGGAGACTTGAGGAGAAAATGAGAAAAGGAAGTCGTCACTGTCTGGATTCCAGCATAATCCCAAAGTCTTAGCGATATTAGTTCCGTCGTGGAATTTAAGAAGCTTCTCTCGATCACACTCGGTAATTTCAGACAATACGAGAGGACTATTAGAACACCACTTTCGAATATTGAAATTACCTCTGGACAATAACTCGCTAGTTTGTCGTTTGATTTCCAGAACTTCTTCTACAGATTCACCTCCCGAAATCAAATCATCGACGTAGAAGTCACGAAATACGATATCTGCTCCGATGGGAAATGATACGCGCTCATCTCTTGCTAATTGCTGCATGGCTCTGATTGCGAGAAAAGACGCTGGCTTTGTGCCATACGTGACAGTGTCCAATTTAAATATTTGGGGGTCGTTTTTTCGATTTGCCCTCCAGAGAACACATTGGGCATAACTATCACGGTCTGACATTCGAACGCATCTATACATTTTTCCTATATCTCCCGTCAAGGCGATCTTATGAGAGCGAAAGCGAAGAAGAGGGTCAAACAGTTTAGGCTGAATAGTGGGCCCCGTCAGTAATATGACCTTTAATGAAAACCCAGAGGATGTTCGAGCGGAGCCATCAAAAACAACGCGCAGCTTAGTCGTAGTACTATCTGCCTTTAAGACACAGTGGTGTGGCAAGAAGAACGTTGCTACGCCAGGCGGAATTTTATCGACTATAGACATGTGCCCCAAAACAGCGTACTCCGACATGAACGATGCGTACTGAGTTTTCAAATCAGGATTGCGCTCAAGTTTCCGCTCAATATTTCTCAACCGATTGAGTGCATTAATATATGAATTCCCAAGTTGATCGGGGTTGCGTTTAAATGGTAAACGGACTGCATACTCCCCCGACTCCAACCTGGTATAATGCCCTTGAAAATGTCTTTCACAATCCAATTCTTCCTGGCTAACCTTTGATGCAGAAGAAGAAATATTTTCAATTTCCCAGAATTTCTGTACTGCTTCTTCAGGAGATGCATCCACATAATTTTCAAGCGAATGGGCTTTGAATGCAGCTAAACAAGATGATGCACGAGTGGTGGGTAAGGCACCTCCAGAAACAACCCAGCCTAAATGAGTTTTCTGCAACAATGGCAGGTGATCAAACAACCGTATTTGTCCTACACACAAGAGGTCAAAAAATAGACCCGCTCCAATAAGTATGTCGATTTGTTGAGACTTGTAAAAGTAAGGGTCTGCTAATTGTATGTTCGATGGTATCTGCCACTCGATATTGTACAAAGTGTAACTGGGTTGATTCTCAGTGATGGATGGCGTAACAATAGCAGTAAAGGAATTTGTATAGTTACCAATCCGTGACTGCATAGAAATTTCTATAGTGTGATTAGCAACAAGATCTGTCTGACCAATACCAGAAACAAGAGTTGTCGATTTAGTTCGCTTTAGCCGAATCATATTAGCGCAACGCGACGAGACAAAATTTAATTGCGAGGCTGAGTCCAATATAGCTCTGCAGGGAACTAGGGAGCCGACACAGTTTTTATCGAAAATAACAGCAGTGGCTAACAGAACCACATTATTAGGAAGAGAATTTGGGGCCTCAGCGAGAGAGCTAACGAGCGATTGATGTGTTTGAGCGACACTGAACGTTGAGGGATCATCAGGTAATTTTTTAACAACAGGCGCAGCCTTCGGAATTGCGTGTAGAAGCGTATGATGCTTTGAACTGCAATCTCTGCAGCCAGATGATTTGCAATGTTTTAAGAAGTGGCCCTTTTTAAGACAATTTGTACAAAGCTGCAGTCTTTTTGCCTCTTTAAGACGTAGCTCAGGGGACAAATTAAGAAACCGATTGCAGCGATATATATAGTGATCAGCGCTATCACAAAACAAGCAGTTTGATACTACATTTGAAGCGATTAACGCCTTACGAGGATTGGAATTTAATTTTTTGCCCACCTGTTTGCTAGGTGTTTGGGTTACCGTAGCATTTGCCACGTTTTCCAACATTTGACAGCGTCTGTTCCAAAATGACATCACAGAATCCAGCGTAGGCAGCTCCTTGACTGGCGTAGCTTCTTCCCATTTCATTTGAGAGTCCACATCGAATTTGTTCACAATGAGATGTGCTATTATACCATCTGCTATCTGCTCTTTAGTTGCTATGGTCTGGAGTGCTCGAAGGTTGGCGGTGAACTTATCGCTTAGCTCTCTCAGTTGGTCAACAGCACCTTTCTCGCATTTCTTTAACCCAAATAATTCCTTTATATGTGCCTGAAAGTTCAAACGTTTATTTTTAAAGCGATCTTGGAGTATACCTACGGCCTTGTCGTAGTTATGGTCATTTATTTCTAGTGATCGAATTGCGTCTAGCGCGCTGTCCTTTAAACTAGTGCGTAGATGCTGGAACTTTTCAATTTTGGTCAGTTCGGGATCGTTACCCACCATCGTTTCGAACATTGAGTAGAAATCGGGCCATTCGGTGTATGCTCCAATATACCTACATATATGCTTTTTAAAACGTAAGCATGCAACGACGAACGGGTCCAGGTTTATCGGCGCTGCGTTCCAACGTCGGTAGTGGTTTCGCGTATCCACGGTAATGTTTAAACATTCGTACTTTTTTAACCGACTTCCAAAAAAGGAGGAGGTTATCAGTTCGTTGGAATATTTTTTTTTTGTTTTAATTTTTTTTTTTTCGATAATTCTCTTTGCAACGGAAAGGTAGTGTCTCAGAGGTGGTCCCATACTAATTTGGTTTAGATCCGATCATTGAATCATGAAATATATAGATATATATATATATTCTTTAAGTCAGTTTTTTTTTTGATAAAAATTACTTGTTATAGGATAGAGTGCACTAAAATATTTTTGCACGATTGGTCAGTGTATACTTTATAGAATAAGATCGTTATTTTTTTTTTAGTTTAACACAAGGAGAAGTCAGTTAAATTGTCAATTGTTTATTGGGAAATTATTATTATTTAATACTATTAAAAAATTAAATATTTCCAGTATGAATATTTTTTTCGATTCTGCTACTTTTTCTGAATATACCATTAAAATTTGGTTATTTTTGATTGAATATTTACGGAAATATAGCAATCAATATATAAAATTGATGAAAAGAAGGTGAAAAATTCATTTATGAATAAATTTTTGAAAAATTCAAATATTCAAAAAATATTTTAAGACAATAATTTTCACATATGGACCTTTGAATATCTACCAAAACATATTTGAAATCTACTACTTAATTTTTAGTGGCCCGTTTCAGAAAGTTTGACTCAAATTCAACTACTCAAAATGCACCTGATTAGGCAATACATTTTTGTAGTAACTGCGATAAAACTAACAAAAGCATATATGTTGGCATGAATAACATTCGGAACACCTAACAAAATTGCCTAGTGGGTTGCTCCGTCGAACCGATTGCTATAGTTCGTTTTTATAAGGAAAGGTGGTACTTCAGAGGTGGTCCCATACTAATTTGGTTTAGATGCGATAATTGGATCATGAAGAAATCAACGGTACTCGTAAATTTTTATATGAGAATTGAAGTCGGTGTTACTTTTTGCTTAAAAAATACTTGTTTATTTATTATTTCTATGTAAAAAAAATGATATTTCGATTAAGAGGACTTAAAACAATATTAAAAGCGAATATCATTGAGAAAAATTACAAATAAATTTTCGTTTCAAATTTTTACCGCGGAAATGGGAAAATTTTCGAAAACGCATAGCACCATCGGATAGCTCGTACAAAAATCTAGAGAAACCATACTTTTGGAATTATTTTTCCCATTTTCAATGTGCTTCCCAGCTAGTCGAAAAGTAGCCTGTTTTGCATCGCTCCGCGCGCCTGGGATATTTAATGTGAAACGTACCATATGTATAAGTCAAAACGTCGATTTGTTTTAAAATTACCGTATTTAATAGTTTACTTTTTACATTTCTCCTAATTTGTATGTCCCTGTTACCTTACTTTCTCACCTCCCTTAGGTGGCCTTAGCACCATTGCTCGCGTTAAAATTCAGCTCACCGATGTCAACGATAATCGTCCTGTTTTCTATCCTCCTGCATATAATGTATCATTGCGTGAAACTGCCAGCGCCAGCGCTTCCACTACGAGTATTGTCGCCGTTGTTGCCACCGATGCCGATTCGGGCCGGTTTGGCGTTGTGACTTATCGCATAGTGGCTGGAAATGACGCGGGTATCTTTCGCATCGATCGAGCCAATGGCGAAATCTTCATTAATCGACCCAATATGCTGTCTGTACGCACGCAACCGATGCACGTCCTGAACATTAGCGCCAGCGATGGAGGTGGCTTGCGCAGCTCGACGGATGCGTTGGTCTTTCTGAGCATCATTGACGCCACACAGCGGCCGCCCATTTTTGAGAAGTCACGTTATAGCTACCATGTGAAGGAGGATGTGCCACGTGGCACAGTAGTTGGTTCAGTGATGGCCACTAGCAGTGATGCGGGTAAGTGTTTGTTTAACTGAAAAGTTGAAAGGAGCAAAAATAGTGCGTTCCTAAAATGTTTTGTTAACTTTGACGCCTGTTAAAAAATTCGCCATATTTTATTGATATTAAATGGAGCTGTGTGCTGGAGTAAAAATCAGAACCACGAAGTTTATATATTAGTTCTGCAATTTTGGCGCATAGCTCCGAAAATGCTTTTCTGCTTATCTAGGGATCATGCTATCTTTTCTGTTTTGCTATGTCCGTTATATATATGTTGGGGTAATTTTGCCTTCTAGGCAGAAGTTTAATGATGTGAAGGTAGAAAATAAGCACCATTCCGGGATGACTGAGGGATCATCAGTAAAGGAACTTGTAACTAATAACACTTTTGATCCCTTATATGGAACGAACTGTTTTCTTTTGTTCGAGCATGTCCCATGAATATTATGTAAACTATAGTTTAAAAAAATTAAAAATCGCTTTTATTACAATGTGAAATATAAAGTAAAAAAATAATTTATAGAAATTAAGAGGAATAGGAAGTTCCCTAACTTGATTTAATTAAACTTTTAAAACCAACGTAGAATAAGATTAAAGTAATTGACAATAAAATTAATTTTACCGGTAAACAAAACGTAAGGTGCTTGATATCAATTGTTTTTAACTTTACGTTTTCAGTTTAGTAATATTGAATAGGTTTGTTTTTTACATTTTCGGGCTAGTTTCGGGCAAATGAGCGTAAGTATGAAATGCTCTCATAAAAGTAAATAAACCGCCCAAAACCACGGCAACACAAAAAACCCATTTTCGTGCCTGAAACTAAACGTCAAATGGCACAAAATTATAAAATTAAGATTTGAGCGTCAGCGAACACAATAACGTAAAATTAATGATCCACTTGGTGTTTTTTTTTACTTATGAATCAAAGAACAACAGCTAAATAGGCACATATTTGTTGGTTAAAATTTGAATGTTTAAAATTCTTCCTCTTATTCTGGCAGTTTGACTGTTTTCACAAACTAGTTTGGGCGAATTGGGTCTAGTGAGAACCAAAAATTACTCTCCCAACGTGGCTCTCAACAGCCCGAGAACCAACCAAAGAAACACAAATTGGGCACTTTCTGGCTCCCGCGGGCGATCAAAAGAACAGACTTATTGTGCGTCCTGGTTTCAAGAATGCAAAAGTTGGCAACCCTGCATGCGAGGCCTCTTCTCACTCATCATTAAGAATATCATCAATCATTAAGAATATTTTTGAGGTTTTTGAATAGAGTTTCACCTGTTTAAAAAGTTAAGTTCAATTTTGGCGTTTTAACGCCATGTGGGTTCACTAGTTTGACCTAATGTGGAATGGCACAGCCACTTCTTGTGCTACATTATTAATGGTTATAAAAGCAGATAGCGCTGTTCCTATTTTGTTTTTGTTAAAGGCCAGTATGCAGCTCTCGAGAAAACGGTCAAGAAAAAAATTGCCATTATTTCGTGTGTGTGTCCACGTAATTTTGACATCTAATACGTCACAGCCTGGTGCATGAAATTTCCGTGATGAAATGCGCATACATCACTGAATCGTTAATTGTACCTGTTAGAGACGAGTCGGGGGGCTAATTGATATTCCATTGTACCCGCAAGGAATAATTGGCGACGAATTATACCCATGTGTTCCCCATAGACACTAAAGGTAAGAGCGCGCTAAGCGGCGCGACACTGCAGCGGCACTACGCGACACTTTTTGGTATATCGCACTGAAACCGCAGCGGCGCGACACTTCGCTGCAAATTTTTTAATTTATTTGTGTCAAAACCTTCAAACAAGATGGATGCCAGTGACGCTGATGTAATGCTATTTCCTTTTATTTTTATTTTCCTTGGCGAATTCTTCTCAAATATTCTGCCTTATCATGAGTCTCATTTTCCCCGAACCGGTTCACTTTTCACTTTTGGTTTCCATGGTTTTACTATGGGCGGATGACAAATTTTCAGGTGAATTTTTTTTCAGGTGAAAGTCAGGATAAGGCAGATTATGTTTCTTTACATACAATTTTCTTCTTGAATGAAATGCATGTGAATATTCACTCACAATTGGAAATCCAATTACTTCAAATTAAAAATATAGTACGAAATGTTATGTCATTCCGCTAGGTATACCGCACTATGCGGCACCGGAACTGCGCGACACCACGCGGCGCGACATTTTCGCCTAGTTGGTCAACTTTGCCGCGCAGCATCGCGTCGCGTAGCTCCGCTGCTGCGTAGTGCGGTATGCTCCATAAGAATACATGCAAAGAATATTTTGCCGCGCTGTGTAGTGTCGTGTCGCGTCGCCTAGTGCGGTCGTACCTTAATACCGGAGTACTCGCTTTACAGATGAGTCGCATATCGTCGCTTGGCGCGCAATACCTCGTATCAGCCACATGTGATACCACGTATAAGATAGTCCAACAATTTCACAAAGGAGCGAAGAAATTTATTTTCTTCAAAACTTTTGAATGGTTTCCCTACTAAACTTACTAAATGTCAGCTTCTACTATAACTATCCATTATTAAATTTGTGAAGTAGGGATAGGGTTGCCAGACCTAAAATGCTGAAAGGGGTACAGATATAAACAAATTGGGGACTTTGGGTACCGCTGAGATATAAAAAAAGGTATTTTGCGGGGGACAAATAAAACTTTATGTATTCAAAAAAAAAATTATTAATTCGTGAATTGAACAATAAAACCGTTCATAAATAAAAATGCAATGTCATTTGAACAAAACAAGGTCGCACTGGCTATCAAATCTGAGTGCATGGTGTTTCTTCAAATATCTGCAATGTTTTTTAAGTTAATGGTTTTGTTATTTTTTTTAAAGATATTTTTCATGCTTTAACCAAAACCCTAAAATTAACTCAAACTTTCAAACTTAATACCAACTCCATAAAATGCAACAAATTTCCATCAAAGTTTTGGACTTTTTAATCTGAATTCATGAATATGCAGTTACATGGCTCATGAAATTTTAATAAAATAAGTGCAAGTTTTACGCGGCTAAAAATCACGTAGATTTTTGATATATTTTTGCTGATGGCTTTTTTCCATACAACAATGCCAGTTTTTATAAAATGCAATTTATAGATAAAAAAACGCTGTTATATGTTAAACTTGCACTCATTTTACTAAAATTTCATGAGGCATGTAATTACATACCCAAGAATTCAGATTAAAAAGTTCAAAGCTGTGATGGAAATTTGTTGAATTTTTGTAAAGTTTGTATAAAGTTTGCAAGTTTGATTGATGTATGTATGTATAATGTGTGTATATGGTTTTGTTTAAAGCATAAAAAATATTTTTATAAAAAAAACAACACAAAAATTAAGTTGAAAAACATTGTAGATATTTAAAAAACACACCATGCACTCAGTTTTAATCGCCAGTGTATGTATGTACATAAAAAATATACATACATGTATACATATTCAGCCTTAAATATGGCACAAGAATATCTTTAAATAAAAATTGTACTTTCGTTCACATTTTGATTCAACTAATCGCCTGTGAAAGTTGAACAATGCAAACATACTTTAAGCGGAAACTGAACGATTTCGATCGAAAATGGGAGACCTACGCAACCTTCCGTAGAAAGGAGGACAAAAAGTCAAAATGGGGTATTTACCCCCAATGGGTTACGTCTTGCAACCCTAAGTAAGCAAGCATTGAGACGTGGTAACCAAAATAGTTGATTTTCTATGCCACGTCATACGTGGTATTGCATTTAGCGGATGCGAGGTATTGCGCGCCAAGCGACGATATGTTTTTAAGCGCATTTAAATAAGCTTAAGTGCTTCGAAGCTTAGGGCACAGTTAATTGCCTATCAAACGGTATAAAAATATTATTTTTTGCCCGATATGTATGTATGTACATCAGGGATGCCAACTCTATTAGGGCTATTTCCCCCGTATTCCTGAAAAAGTTCCGCTATTTTCAATGGTATTCCCCGAAAATAACTTTTACTATTTAAGGCACTTCACTGTAATTTTTATTATATAGAAAATCACAAATATTATTATATTTGGGGTTATATTTCTGAGTTTTCAAAGTGAAACTACCTTTTTTCTTTGTATCATGCTCCGAAGTATCTATGCCATGCCTGCTTCTGAATTTTGGTGTTTTTTTTTATTAATTTTGGAAACATTACACAGGTTTACAAAAAATAAAGTTTATACATATTAAACCAAACCTATATATCCCTGTGTTTTTCGACACACTGAATGCGAATCCGCGGCCCTTTTGCTTCCATCACGGTCAGTTGAAGGTCAAGTAGGGAAAAGTTCATTGAATAAACAGGAAATTTCATATATGTATATGGAATTTCATTGAATAAACCTTAAAATGCATATGTAAGGGGTTTTAGAGTAAAAAAAACCCCATATATATGAATTTTCAGGTTTAATCAGTGAAGTTTTCCCTACTTGACCTTCAAATTACTAAAAATAAACACGCCCCTGAAGATGCTAAGAAGATTAGCGAAACGTTGTGCTGTTCGTTTTATTTACACTAAATAAATAGATCTGACAAGCTTATCACAAACTAAATTTTCACAAAATACAAACTGATCGGACATACATACATAAATAAAGTATCAACATCGAAATGCCTGCCGAAATAAGCATTAAAAGGAGCAACATGAAGGACTATTACAAACACATAAAATACAAGCATGGGGAACATACATGCATGATGCTAAAATATTACAGTAAACAAAAGCAGAAATTCGCGAGCAAATGGAACAACTGAAATTTTTATTAAAATGCAAAAGGTGCGAACAGACTCCGAATCACTTGGCGAATTCAGTAAAACACATTATTATAAGCACCACATCCGAAAGAATAAGACAACAAATGAACCAAACTAAACATACTTTTCTTATGAAAATACTAAACATAAAATTAACACAAACATAGACATCCGAACAACCAAAAATCTGTTACATAACGCACAACAACAATTAAAACATACTTTTAGTGAACTGGAATTTAA